AATGGATGCAAAAATAAAGGGACAAGAAACCCCCCAAGAAAAGGGCTTTTCCCACACTTCCGAAGGCTGGGCATCCCCGCATTTTTAGCGTCCCCGGGATGTAGGACAAGCACAAGAAAAAAAAATAGACTCTTTTTTCCTCTTCTTCTTAACAATCTTTTAACATACAAAGTTATTAAAACTAGGCGATCATTGCACTTGGCTCAAAGGAAAACCCTGTGGGTTCATTACTGGTCTTCCCATATATAGCTCTGGTTTTAGCTCTTTTTTATTTTATTTTTTTAATTATTTTTATTAATATTATTATTTTAAGGGGTTTTTTTGTGTGTGTGTATGTGTGGTTTTTTTTTTAAAGCGGTTTTCAACAGCCCCACGGGGGAGGTGGGGGATCCATGAGCCATCATGGGACCCCCTGGAAAGCTCCACTCAGTGCCCCCACCCCAGCCCAGGGACCCTGGCTGAACCTGGGGGCAACAGTCCACAGCCCCACCAGGGTCTGGAGCCCAGTGCTAGCTGGCTGAGGCCCCCTCTCATTCAAGGAGGTGTCATACTACAGGGGTCTGGGGTCGGGGTGTCTAGAAGAGGGGCTCGGGTGGGGGGGAACTCGAGACTGCAGGGCATCAATCTGGGGGCATCAGGTCAGCTCTGGATCTCCCTCCCTGCCCTATGGGGGGTCTCTTGGATCCCCCAAGAGCCTTGTTCCCAGCTGACTGAAGGCAACCCTATGCCCTTGGGGACAGGTTTGTTCTGGACCTTTCCCCTGCCCAGCTGCCCCAGGGGTGCCCAGCTGTCCTGCAGCTGTGTGCTGGGGTAGGCGCAGAGGGCACTGGCAGGGCAGGGCTCCAGGGTTCCCCCCAACAAGCTGGGAGCTGCTCTGTGCCAGGCTCTGACTCCTACCTGGGGGGGAGCTGTGGTGGGGAGAGGAGTGGGGACTCAGTAACAGCACCCCAGTCCTCCCATTATGACCCTGTTTCTCCACTGGGACTGGAACATCATTGCATTTCAATTGGGGGGGGCAGGTTTCTGCCCCACCCCCCAGCATCTCCCTGCCCCCTACCCGAGTGAGCAGAGCAGAAGGAAACAACCCCCCCATGCCAATGAGAAGTGGGTGGGGGGAGGCAGGTGTCAGAATTGACAGACCATGCACAGCCCAGCAGGCAACTCATTGGTTTCTCCCATGATCCTTTGAGGCGGGGGATCAGGGATTTTGACTACAACAGGTTTCACCTTTAGGGGATTCCAAATGAGAGCCCATAATTAGGGCCAAATTCTCCCCTTTTCCCCCCAATCCATCCTTCCTCCTATGGCTGTTATATGTGGCTGCTGCAGCATTCTGCCCCAGAGGCAGCTGCTTTGGGGCAGCGGCTGCCCCCGTAGAAGGAAGTGGTGGGGAGGTGAGGGAAGGCCCCATCCTGTCTACATTGGGTTTCCTTTGGGTTTTTCAGTGTGCGAAGGAGAAGATGCGGTGTGTGTATGTGTGTGTGTGCATGTGTAGCCATGTGATCGCTGCATGTGTGTGCGTGCACGCGCGTGTCATCGGCACAGATCCCTTTCCGCCCGGCCCGGACGGCACCAGGGGCTGCGGCGGGGAAGGGGGTGGTGGGGGGAGGGTCCCGGCTCTTGCCCACGGTTTATGGCTGGATGGTGGCAGCCAGGACCCCGTGGGCGAGGCATGTAGGTGGAGGGAGGTCACATGTGTGGCCATCCCCCACCCCAGACCCAGGCCTAGCGGCTCGCCGTGGGTTAGGGGACATCACAAAAAACCGGCGCGGC